CGGCGCCGATGCCGTTGCCGCTTTGCCAACGCATTGAAAGGCAATGCGATTTGATATTGTTGCACTTTTATTATTGTTGGGATGCGGGTTGCTACGTTGTAAAACTTGGTTGCTACAACTGTAGTAAACGCTATTTGTATCCGTGTTATTTATACAGGAGTCGAGTAGGCAGTTTGCCGCTTCCCATATAGGTAACCATGAATTCCATCACATAAGCAAACAAGGTGAAACAGGTTGACGACGATATCTTTTGGAATAATGAAAAACATTAGTCGTACGTGGGCCAACCTGTTATCGGTTCCCTGGACTGTCTATCATAAATCCCCGTGAAATGCAGCGGCCTAGTTAGTTGATGTAACCGCGGTGCGCTCGCGCACGTGTCTCGCGGGTGGCCCGATAAGCACGACAGCGATAACGCTTCGTCGCAGAACATCAAACCCAACCATTGTTGATGTACTAGGTCCAGCACCGACTACCTATCACTTTGGCAATGTTTCGATTTAGACCAAGCCTGATGGTGGCATGTTTGTGAAATTTAGCACCATATTAAATGTTTTCATAATCTATACTCGCACTATCAACAACATCACTACAAATGAATTTTCTACGAATTTTCAGGAAGTTTAGAGCTGTCGTCAAACAAAAAACTTTATACTAAAGACATAGTAACCCGTTTAGCTCTATCTTTCTTCTATGATATTCGTAATAAATATTGAAAATGATATATGTGAATAAAAGTTTAATTTAAAAAGACCGATTATAGAATTCCTTATACAGTTTATAGGAAATCATAGAAGTGGGAAGTTTCTCTTTCTGTTTTAAATTAGGTATTTATACCGGTTAACGGAATTAATATTCTTGACATTGAATTTAATAGCAAATAATGACCTCTTACTTATCAAGATCGCGACCGTAACAACGGTAACACCCAGGTGGCAGCATTCGACGAATTAATAAAGCCAGCGCAGCAGCAGCGCAGCAGCAGCGGCTGCCAAAAGAGGTTGTAGAAATTCTTAACACACATGTGATCACTAAAGTTTCATAATTCTCTAAGGAGTTCTTGAGCTCATGTGGAAAAATAAACTGACTTATCATCCTAAAGTAATAAAATATTATTAACTACTTATATGGAATAAAAGACGTCCTTGTAAGTATACGTTTTAAGGTTCCATTGAACCAAATAATTCATATACTAAGTAGAAAAAAATCTCGTCGTTTTGTTCAAATGTCTAATTTTGAATGTGTTGCCAACCCTACGCAAACACTTTTATGAATAGAATAACAATTATAATTCACAAAAGTTACCTACTTGTTACTTGGTCGTTCATTCACCCCACTGGTGGACTCAGTTTCGAAGATGTCTCTAACAGTACTCCACCGCACGAGTTGTAAAAAGATTGTAGAACTTGTAATAATTAATACTCATTAATCAACCGACAAATATCGTGATACCGTAGTTTATTTAGTTTGCTAGAAATCAAAAACATTTAGTGAGAGTTATTATTTAATAACAGAGATTTTTAGGCAGAGTTTTCAATAAATTTTGATTGCGTTTAGCTTCAACATTTTTAAACTCTATTTTCATGATAATAGTTACTTTGTCGTAAGAATATGTGACAAGTACGTGTGGTAGGTATAAATAGTAATGACAAATATTGTGAGTAACAGATTGACGAGGCTTTCAAAGGCGGGTGTGACCATAGAAATACCCTTCAGCCCATAATCGTACATTACACTTGTGTAGATTACCTTGTTTATTACCAAATTTACCATTAACGTAAATGGACACGGCATTACTAAACATGTGTCGATTGTCACAACAGTTTTTTGTGTGTAATAGTCACTTTCGTGTCTAAACGATTGCATCACTGAGTGGCTGTAACCCAAAAAGGAGTGGACTTGAGCGTTGTTTACGACGACAGGGCTAACTCGGCTAAATGCATGTAATAATGACATCGATCGTTACAATTCTTACTGATTACCTTACTTATTCTACACGCAGAACGTACGTACCTACATTTTCAACTAAATTAAACAGAACCTCAAACATTATAGCGTTGTTGTTTACAAACAAGCGTTAATTTGAGCAACGACCGTGCCTGATTTGATTAGTGAGAACCATATTGTCATTTTACCAAAAATATATGTCCAAATTCATTTTTACGCAATCCGTTTCTCGTGTGAGGATTGTGTTCAATTTCTTTAATCAACGAGATCTGGTAAATAAATCTTAATTTCCTCGCGGCAAAAACTCACGGATTCCTTATAAAGGTGTTGACGTCGCGATAGCAGGGCATACGGGAAACCGGGACAAGGGCGGTCAGTCCCGCCGCCGCCATCGGCTCGAGTTGGCCGCACATCCTTAAATGGCAGCAACCTTGCGGCCACATGGCGAGAAAACAACCAAGGTTGCATGAAATTGCTATTTATTGTAATGTGTCAAGGTGACATTCAATGCAGAGCCAGCTGTTGTTGTCGAGTAATCGATTCACTCGTTGACAATCATCAATATCGGTGTATTGCGCAACAGGTAGCGCGCAGCGGGCGGCCGCGAGATTGCAACGCATGGACACTTGCAATTTTGCGGCTATCGGCGTTTGATTGATTGTAATGTTTACATCTTAAAATAGATGTCTACAATGTTGCGATGCCGTTTCAAACCATCAGTTGTGTTTGATAGTGATTCTTCTTTTGCTCCATCGTGCACGTCATCTTTTAAATCTTCGAACGGCACATGAACTTTAGTAATCGATGAAATACCTTGTATATTATTGGTCGCTTCCAAAATTATAGTAAGTGAGTATTGCACCATGTGCCATTATTACAATAAAACTGGTGAAATGTGGCCGATTGCCTCGCGATCGCTGCGGCCATTCTCCAGCTATGACTTTGGGCATGCTAATTTCTTGAATTTTCTTGTACATCCCAATCACTTTGAGAGTTTCGTATATGATTGACTGAAGTTCTGTACTAAATAGCAGAATAAACTTGGATTTTATCGCGATAAACAGTTGTGCATCAAATGATAGTTACAAATGAAGCTCCCGGAGTAATGACGAAAAATTTAACCTTGTAGAGAAATTGTATTTCTAGGTATAACTTTAGATGCTAAATTGCAATGAAGTCCACACGTAAGTAAGTTATCAAAACTGCTCAGCTCTGCAATGTACGTGATTTAATAAATACGAAAACTTTCAGACGTCGAAACAGCTAGATTGGTACGGCACTTTGCATTGGGGTAATGCCGTTGATATTAATAGAATCTTTGTCCTGCAGAAACGTGCGGTTTAAACAGATTAACATTCTTACACTAACGTCACGATATTTATGAAAATGTTATTTATGTTAAGAAAAACATTACTTTTTTATGAAAAACAGTGACAGACATAACGTTAATACACGAGGAATAAAAATAAACTAGCTGTTCTTGTTAGTCGTCTTCACAAAGTCTCAAATTCATTTAAGGGGCAATGTTTACGTTTCTATAATGAGATTCCGATTCATATTCAAAATTTGCCATTTACGAGGTTTAAAACTATAATGAAACAAAAATGTTATACTAAAAGTTATTATAACAGCTTCTGCGTACTTGGATGACAAAAATTCGTGGTAGTGACCCGTTTAAATTAAATATTGCAATGATACATGTATTCAAATGTATATTTACAAAGAGCAACCTCTAAAGTTTCTTGCTCATTCTTCTCAAGGGAATCTGCCTTATGAACGAACAGTAGAGTTTAATCAGTACGACGATTTTGAAATCTTAATGATTTTGAAAAATTACACTTGAGTGTAATTTAGGAATGAAACTATTTTTCCGGATTTAAATCGCGTATTTTAATCGCGGTTGACTGTCAACCGTGACCATGGGACCTGTAAAGGGCCCGAAACGTCGCGTCGGTTTGTTTGAAAAAACAAATATACGCGATTTAAATCCGGAAAAATAGTTTCATTCCTATGTATAACAATCGCGAAAACCTAAGAACTTGAGTGTAATTCGCTTACTTATGAAATAAAGATTATTTTACTTTGAAATGGAAAAATAATTTCTCAAGATCACGTATTACATTTTATATATACAACATTTTAAACATTGGACACAATCACAAGTCGTGATTTAACAACTGTAATCATTGAAAATATTGATTTAAATTATCTTTCTATACAAGTGCGCTGTAACCACCTCAACTTTTTCTATCAACAATTTGGCGCGCACCAAAAAAGGCGCGAAACAATAGCCAATCAAGTGAGCGAGCGCTCGCCAGATGGCCGCCCGTGGCGCTGATTGGCGCGTTGTAATATTACCACACGTTAGAAACTTTTCGTCATTGGCGGAGTGAAAAGTTCGATGAAATAGTTTGTAGTGAAAAACGTGAGAAGCTTTTCACTATTTATTCCTTATATATGTATACTGTATATATTTGAAATTGAAACGTTCTGATCAACTAAATACTAGCGTATGTAAAACTCCAAAGTAAAGATCTATTTGAAAAGAGTACAACAAAGTTCCACAACAAATTAGAAATTGCAATATTTGGCAGAATTTTAGACATTATTATTAATAATAACCTGACTGTTAAACATTCTACAATATTCATTCAATTTATAAAAGCTACATTTAATTTCATGCGATCTAATTTTCTTATTATTATTATTTTTATTAGACAAACTTATTAAATCTATTATTGTTATATTTTATTACAGTGTTTTATATATAAATTATTGCATGAAAATTCTATGAAAACTTTGAAACGTTGTCCGCCACAAGGCGGATCACGGTGATTCAAAATTCAATCTTGTAAGTCTTTGTAACCTGTGTATCACAAAGAAACAAATGATTTGAGTTGATATTTATTTAATTGCGCCAAAATGTAAAAAAAATGTAAATGTTTTCTACTTTGTATCCGAGAAAACAAGTGACAATAAAACAAAACACCATTCATTTAGAGTTCACAAGACCGCTGTTTATAAACTCATTGCTATTTGTTTGTTTCTTGCAGAATGTCTGAGGGTGACGTGTCCCTGATCCGTGACGAAGACGTACTGCGCCGTATGGTGAGACAATATTACCTACCTATATTATTTACCTATTTATACAATAATAAATTACCCCGACCTTAGCTGTGGCCTGTCTGTCTCAGACCGACATGTTCCTACAGCGAAGATTCTACCCTACCTACAAGAGCAGGGTACCATATTTTTTTATAACCGGTCTGCCAATCGATTCCTCTGTATTTGTATGGCTCTTAGGTGTGTCACTTACCATCAAACCATATTTCAAAGCATTTACCCGTCGCAATTATTCTGTGACAATAGATGGAATTTGAAAATTGTATTTTTCACTCAGTTTTAAATGTAAAAGCCCAAGTTGCTCAATAAACAAATAGATAATAAACGGAAACACTCTAGTAATAAAAAACTTAAGATCTGCAAAGTCATGGTTATCTTTTGGTCTCTTACATAACCGTGATCGTATGTATGGAAAAGTGTAATAGAAGTCCAATAACCTAATTTAATTTAACAACATGTAAAAAATACCGTAACTTTTTATTCATTACTTAGTAATCTGAAACGATCACATTTAAAGGGAGAGTTTGCTTCAGCTAAAAACATTCCATGAGCTACTTCGAAACTTAGTTACTTAACGTATCAAATATAACATAAATAATATACCAAACATGTTTAAAATACGCAGAAAATGATCCGTTTTTTCCGCTTTTAACTCGTCTACTATGTAGAAATTTTATCGAGCGACATTGGGCATAGTGCTGAGGAGGCTGGCAACATTTTTGATCACTAAATTTATTTTATGGAAGACGTAGGTCTCTAATCACTCAAGGCTTGGTACGAGGCGAACTGATCCTCTTGAGGAGTTTCACGTGCAGCCTCCCCAGGACCCAGAGTTTCCACAGCAAAATGCACAAAACTGTGGCACAGGCAGATTGGCCTTTTTGAGTCTTTTGCGGTGGTTTACTGCTCTGGCGGTGAAATCCGCGCGACTCGCGTTTGTTGACATGAATGGAGACCACAGTAACCACACGTATCGCTCCTCACACAAGCTGTCTACCCAGTTTCCATGAAATATCATATATCAGTCCTTTTACCGACGCTCGGATAGACGAGAAGATAGATAATATCTTGGCACCGTTATTGAGGTACTCATTCATCTTATCTCTGGTAGGTAGGTTCAATTGCAGAATTTAGTGAATTTTTAAAGTTTCTGGCGATATTTGATATTCAGTGTCAGAATTCGCCGAAGTGAACTGTGTCTACAAATCATTAGCCATTACTGGTGGCAATTTGGCATTCTAAATCAAAACTATCCCACTTTAGAATTTCAGCATTATAAAATGTTACGAAAATAATATGTTGAGTGTCTAGTAGTCCTTTCACGTAAAGTAACAAGTCACGTAAAATATTAATACGAGGAATAAAATGGCCGTTCTCGACAGCCGACTCCATGAAGTCACAAATTCAATGAAGTGGCGAAATCCTTGTTTATATTCAAAAGAGGTATGCTGTTTACGAAGTTTCAGAAGTATCATGTAACTAAACCTTTCTGTACAATGTTCAGTAACATACTTTAATATACCTACAGTCTTTGCGCTTCATGTTGTTTATGATCTTTTTAACCGACTTCAAAAAAGAAGGGGGTTCTCAATTTTGATGATATTTTTTGGTTAGTTAGAAGATACCTCAGTATTGGCCCCATTTAGACTTGAAGAAAATATTCCACCTCTAAGCGTGGCAAACTAGGGGATGGAGCCGTTTTCGCGCACTTTCTGGTAACCGATCAATTTCAAGTGTAACTTGTGCGTGTCATTTCTTATTGATATTTCAAGCTTTAACTAACTCAAAATTATCACCAATCTGAGAGGTGTTAAAAGTTCCTGAGTGAATTGAAGTCGGTAAATTAATATTGGCATATTGCAGAATGATTAATTTCAAAATTTTTGTATGCAGCATGTGTGGTATGTGAGAGATTAATGGTGGTTTCCACTACCGGACGAAGTCCTAACACTGGTAGTAACGGAGGTCTGTAGATTACACAAGAATTAACTTAGGATTTAGCAGGCAAACCATTCTGAATGACTGAATCAGTGTTAGAATATGATCTCATCTGTTTTTACTTACATTTAGGATTGTACCCTTTTAAAGAAATAAATTATTACCAGTATTGTTTTATGTTTACGAGTGCTATTATTGGTGGAAATGGAAAAATGCCACCATTGTCTTGCCATTATTTATTCATTTTAAATAACTATGCTTCAAAAAATGTACTCCATCCTGTTTGTCAATAAAACATGAACTTCTTCCAAATAGTAGTTAAGCGGACACTCTTATAGGATTAGTTTTTAAGTATAACTTATTTCTTAAGTGCTGTTTGAGTCTAAGTTAAACCACCTACTTTTTAATAATGCAATGCAATATCGTTTTCTAGTGGCAGCAGACGGAGGACTTTTCTCGCAAAAAGGAGATCCGCGCGCACATGTACCGCCTACGCGAGGAGCGCTTGCGCAACTTGCACTCGCCCGAGCCCTCGCCCCTCCCTAAAGGTATACTTTTCGCAGCTAGCACAAGCTATTTAGTAGATACCGAGAAACTAGAAAAAGAAAGGGGTTTGTTTATAGTAAAATACAACTCGTTAAGATTCAAGTAGCTAACTGTGTACATACATAAATAGAACCGAGTAATTGTCTGAGACAAACAATACCTTGTGATGAATTGAAAATGTGAATAGGTGCAATTGTCACTCATTAAATTCTAAATGGATTCTTTTATACTAATTATTATTAAAATATTTATTGCGCATTACCTTGTCTTCGATCTTAAAATAAATGAATGAATTGTGTGACAAAATGATCTTATTGAAGAATTTCATGGATGAACTAACGTCTGTTCACTCGTAAAACACACACTCGTAGAGATATTAACATCAATACACAATAAACAACATAAGCTTTATATAATATAAGGCTTTTAGTTTTTAATTAATTACTTACGGCATCAATTGATGTCAATGCATTTGCAAATTTGGCTTATCTACAATAGTACCTACTGCTTAGAGTTCAAGTTATTTGTTTATAGTTGAATTGTAATGGCACTATAAATGTTGCTTGCCAATATTGGTAAAAGTTATAATACTCCACAAAGCATTTTGTCATTTATATTATATTGAAAAGCCCCGTTCTCAAACTTTAAAAACTACATATCATAGCACCCAGTACGTTTGGAGCAATAGTGTGGAAGTGTAGACTCTCTGCAGGTGTAGCTCCGGCGATGCACGTGGCGTCGTTCGCAGACCAGAGTTTCCAGGGACTCAAGAGCAAGGAGGTGCGCGACGCTGGCTCTCCGCCCAAGGAGTTCCGCGCAGGTGCTTTACCACCACTGCCCCCTGCCATTTGCCAATTGCGGGCCTCTGCCCTAACCACTAACCGCGCTTATTAACTGGTTAGCGGCATTGTAACATCGTTATTCATGTGGCCATGAGTTCAAACGGACGCACGCTAGAGAATATAGAACCATTTACAGATTATGATCATGATTGGTCAAATAAGTTTCTTTGGGTACGATAACTACGGGTGTCATGAATTGAAACTTATTTCAATAGACTAATAGTGACTCATAACTTCTATATTACTTCATTATCACTCATACATATATCACGAGTTAGTTCCGTCAGTGAACTCGATAGCTACATGATATTGGATTCAAAAATTTTCAGTGATATTCGATCATCTCTTTGCAGATCTCAAAGAGCTCTCGAACGCGGGATGGAACGTCGAGTCGGAGAATAAGACAACAGACGATGGGCATACGCAAATCCGTGGCGTACATGCTAGCGTCAAGGGCCACTTCGACATGGCCGGCGGGCAAGGCCAGTTCGCAGCTGTTGATAGCCACCGGCAGGCTGAGACCGTGCACCACGATGACACCACTAGCCTGCACCGCCGCGAGGCCGCCTCCAACACGGCGGCCCATGAGGAAGTCGTCCGCCGGTGTGACGATGGAACACACACAAGCTCTACCGCCAGCTCCTCGTCCGCCACTTCCAAGTTTCAGCAAATCTCCTCTACCACACACGAAGTGCCATACTCGACCGATGACTACGACCAGTCTCGTCGAGAAACTAGTAACCGCAACGAATACAGACAAGTTACTAACACTAACGATTACGAACAAAATGTCAGTAAAAATGAACTTGACAATGGAGAACTAATATCCAGAAAAGTCGATTACCCTGATAGCAATACCAAAATTATTGTTGAGACTAGATGTCTTCCTGATGGTTCCAGGGTGACGAGTACTCAGCGCGAGTTCCGTGCGCCAACGCAGAGCGCCCGATCCGAACAACATTCCACAAGGAGCGAGACTAAGTCTTACTTTGGTTCCTCGCGTCATACCTCTGACAGAAGGGAGTCTTCTAAAGTTACTCAAAAATACGACAATTATGACATCGTAGACTCTCAGAGGAAGGCAGATGACTATGATTTCAAAAGAATTCAGGTAGATAATACAAAAAATGATTACTCACAATCTCAAAATGTTACTCAAACGACTGAATCTAAACGGTTTGACACAAGAGAAAGCTCGTCTAATGTGACACGAGAGACTATCGACAACCGAAATGTCGACATCGAAGCAATAAACAAGAATAATATCAATATCGAACAAAATGAAAACTCAAAACGCAACGATTTTTCGGAGTCTCAGCGTACTAATCAATATTACAATATTGACGTAAACGAGACTAGCCAGCGTCAGAAAATGACGAAAAATGACACTAAAATGGATGAACAAGTATATTCAATGGATAACAACATTCGTAACACTCACACTACTAGCTCTGATACTAAATCTGAAAATATCGATTGCTCAGAGATGACAGCTGAAGTCAATAAATACACTCAACGCGAGATCAATGATATAAATTATAACAAGCGACGTGATGAGAAAACAGGCATTCATGATCAAAAAGTTGACGATATTGTAAAAAAGCAAACTAGTGACCAATACCAAACAACATACCAGACAGATTATACACAAAAAAAAATAAGTAATGACTGGAGTCCCACTCATCAAGCGTGGGCTAGCACTCTTCGTGCCGATAGTCCATCCACAACACGCCCAATCAGAGCGCAGTCTCCCGGAAGCAGGACTTATCAATCAAATACAGCTTTCCAACGTAATAGCGTGAGTCCCGATAAAGCATGCAAGAAGCCATCGAGTCGCAGTGGAAGTCCAAATAAAATAGATCATAGTTCACCTTCGCGTATTTTAAATGATAGATTTTCGACCATCAGCTCGAATCAATCCGTGTCTGAGGCGACGGCTTATCGATATACTAGCCCAGAAAGGAAGTCACCACGGTCTCCAAACAGAAGTAATATCGATAAAAAAACAGATAATTATCGTCAGCGAGCAAGCCAGAGTCCCGATAACTATCCATATGAACATAAGCCGCGCACTAGTCCTGATAAAAAGTTAGGATCTCCAGGCGGAGACGTAAGAGCCAAATCTCCGTCGAGAACTTCTGAAGGTACTCCGCGACCCAGTCCTAGCCCTGAAAGAAAAGTTTTCTCTGGTTCCCCTCCTATGCCTTCGTCTTATCGATCAACCAATCCAGTTGAACAAGTTAATGATTGTGAGACAAGCCCCGATAAAAAATCAGGACCTCAGAAATATTCACAAATTCCCACCTCCGGCTATACCCCTAATCATCCCAACCTGTCTGCAACAAGACCTTCCGTCAGTCCTGACAGAAAACCTGGCTATATGAGGTCTACAGCTACCAGCAAAGCTCCTGGAAGTCCTGCTAATGCCAGTTCTGACCGTAAGTCACCCACTAAACATACACTACCTTCTCAAAGTCCAGAAAGAAAATATAAAGGCGAAACTACTCATACGGATGATCATTACACGTTTATAGATGAGGAAACCAAAATGTACACACGCTCTAAAGATACTACAGACTTCGGTCGCCCAGAGTCTCCCTCGCTGCGACCATCAATCAGAAAAGCATCTCGATCACCCTCTCCTCCGAAAGGACCGGTGACATTTACGGATGATCAAACTACAAAAACCGAAAATATCGTAACAAACATAGACACAAAATTCAATAGAACGGATTATACTAAAATAAATCGTTTTACGAAACCTGATGACTCTCCGGTTAGAGATTTGCCCAGAGAAGTGTCTCCTCCTAAATATGGAACTTACGATAAGAAACGCCGCAGTGGGGAAATAACTTCAATTGCTACAGAAAACAAATACGATTACTTAACGCGACGTCAGAAAACAACCAAAACTGAAACGAGCTCACCATCATCGCCACCAAAGAACTCACCAAGAAACAGTGTATCTCCTGTAAAGTCATATGACTCTCCAGGACAACCTTCACACTCTAAGTACGATACCTATGACAAGAAAGATCGAATTAAACAGTCCGAACATGTAACTGTTAATAATAACGATACAAAAGACGAATATGATCATTTAACTCGGCGCCAAGCATCCACCAAACAGACGCCTGAAGTACCAACGTCGTCAACCAAGAAAACACCTCGAGAAAGTGTTTCCCCTGTGAAGTCTCCTACTAAATATGCCAAGTACAAGTACTCTACTGATTTTATTGCTACAGAAATTGCAAGAGAAGAAACCAATAAGTCAACTAAGCCAAATCGTCCTCGCCAACTTGTTACTCCTTCTACTAGCCCCACTCGTAAGCACAAAGATGATGAAACGGCACCTTCTACAGGACAAAGTTCACCAACCACCTCAGTCAGCGGTTTTATATATTTTAGTTCTCCAAAAACCGACACGACATTAGTTACTGATTTAGATGATACAGAATGTCAAATGACAACTCAGAAGTCTGAAGAAATTAACATAACCACTCAAATTCAAAGACCAGACACACTCAAGATTGAAAGATCACCGTCGCCATCTAAAATGCCGTGTAGATCACCGTCTCCTGAAAAAAAAATGACGCCGACAAAAGAGGCTCTACCAAGAAAAAGCTCATTGAAAAAGCCATCATCGGGTTCTAATTTACAGTCACCAGTAGAAAAACCACCTTCTAGTTTCCGTGTCTCACCAACGGATGAGAGCTACTATGTCCCTGAACATAAAATTGTTAAGAAAGATCGTCCAAATGAAGCAGTTGACACGCCAGCGAAAACTAAACACCCATTCGAAAGAAGAGAGACTTATGAAGAGCGATGTCTTAAGATTCTTGGTGTAGTTGATGATATTACTAAAACTGATTCGAAGGAGATTGAATGTAATCACGAGTCTCCTGATCAATTACCACGTCCTAGTCTAGAGCCTAAAGATAACACCATATTGACAAGCCGTGTAACACAGAAAGAAGCGATGAAAGTGAATGTTGCAGACTTTATTAACCACGAAAAATCTAAGATTGCAACGAATTCTACTTCTACCCTTCGTGAAGATATTTATAGAGATCATAAATCAAAAACTCCGTCTCGTGACAGTTCTCCAACGAAACTTCAGGATATTATATCACATAACAACATTATATCATATGATAAAAAAACCGATAGTGAGAGTCAAGGCAAAAATAAAATATGTGAAAGCCCTGATAGAGATATTGGTTACGAAAAACATGATACTCTTCGACGATCACTTAGTCCCAAAAAGAAAATACCTGAAAGTCCAAAAAATTTGAAACCTACGGGAATGTTTCAAAACCTAGATCAAAACGTGTTTCAGGACAAGTTACCAAAAAAATCTTCTCCCTCCAGATCTTCTGTTAGCCCTGATAGAAAACCTAGTTATATGAAGGCAACGACTGCATCGTCAACGAAGTTTGAGTCCACGGACAAACAGGAAGGCGTTACTACTAAAATTACACGATCGAGTTTAGACAGAGAAACTGGGTATCAAAATACAAAAGATCATCCAAGCCCTAGACCGGAAAATCAACGATCTAGTTCACCATCTAAGAATAAGGACGAAACTTTCCCGAAAGTACATATCAGCCCAGAAAGGAAATATTCGGCCAGAGACAGTCCTGAAAAGACACCAGAGAATAAAACTCCTTCAAGGATAGCTATGAGTCCTGACAGAAAACTTGGAGATATAAAACACACTGCTTCAAGTATCACTAAGTACGAAGAAATGTATAGTATGGAGACAAAATCGGCAGATTCAACTCTGAAAGTAGACGAAAAAATACGAAATTCTGTCGCTTTGTCTACTAAAAAAACAGATCATCCAGGAAAGAAATCCGAAGCATCTAAAAATTCTCGTACGCCATCTCCAAATAAAAAGATTACTAAATCTGTTGAAGAGATTACACAGTTCATACAATCTGAAAGGGAGCAAGAAATTTTAGATAAGGTACAAAGATCACTAAGAAAACTCTCCCCAAATCGTGATCAACAATCCCCAACTCGAGATCAACAATCCCCAACTCGAAATCAACAATCCCCAAGTCGAAATCAACAATCCCCAACTCGAGAGAAGAGTCCAGGCAAAACAAAAATCAGTCTGGAAGATCTCGATGTTAATTGTACTACTGCGGAAAAATCCATTATAGAGCAAAAGAAACAAAACTTGACAAAAAATGATGAAATAACGACACATACAACAAAAGTACACATTGGCAAACCACAAGATCAAAAACCAATCAGCAAAATTGCTACACGAACGGTGTCGCCAGCTAAAAAACCTACTGCAAGTTCTTCAACTAAACCTGAAAAAAGTTTTACTTCAAGGAACCCTGAAAATCCGAATATGTCTAGAAGTATTTCACCTAAAAAGCCTGTCTCGCCAACGGGCGGCTCACAGTCACCGCAAGTTTCAAAGCCATCTAGTATTAAACCTCGGGATCCAACTCCAACCAGCTTTACAAGAAAACCAAGTTCGGGAAACATGTCACCTACAAAAACAGAAAAAATTACCACTGATTTGAAAAAGGTAACTAAACAGAACAGTTTCACTTCAATGACCAATTCCACAACCTCCAAGAATTCAGCTTCTCATAAAGTCGAATCAGAACCCAAATGTAGCCCTGCCTCAAAGGGTATTAATAAAGAAAATGTCAGCCCCAAAAAGGAAGACATTAAAGTCATTCGTGCAGCAAGTGACATTTCTCTCAAAACTAAAAAAGCTTCCCCGCAGAAAGTAAAATCAAAACCAGAGATACAAGTCAATGACGTATCTTCGTCGAAATATTCTAAATCTACAATTACATCTACCATAAATACAACCACTACGAGTAAGAAATCATCAGTTAAGCAACCCCAAGTTAAATTAGCTCCTAAACCAAAATCTGCGACAGCCTTAAATACATCTACGGATGAGGACGATATTATTATTGATGTTGAGCAAGCCAAATCATCTAGGGAAAATTCACCTGATAGAATTTGTCCAACGCCGATCGATTTCATAGAAGATGTTGGTACCCCGAGATTCCCCGACGAAGTAAGTGAACCAGACGATGAATTCCGCAAAAGAACACATCACACCATCCACGAGACAGAATCGATAGTGGATGATATTGTAGAGATTTGCGAAGATGATGAACTGTTTGTAAAATGCTCAGATGTTGACCGAATCGCGGATTCCGAAGACCGTCTCCTTAGTGTCACTGACAAAGTGTCAAAGTTCACAAATAAAATCGGAAGCATCCCAAAATCTAAAGAATCTACTGCGCAATTAGAGAGTCTAGTTCATTCCGACTTCGTTGACGAAAATTTGAAGTCAGATGAATGTTTGCTTTCTGTTACCGAAAAAGTACATAGGTTTGCAACAGGTCCAAGGGACACTAAGGATCACAGCCCGGCACGAAAGATTACCGATGAATACGATACGGAAACCATTTATCAGGATGATTACACAAAGCTAAGCGTAAATGACAAGGCACATTTATTTGTTGAAACAGCTGAGAATGTGAATGCTCCTAAACTAAAGCCAGCTCAAAAGGCTAAGCGACCCGATATCAGTAACGTTGATGAATCTCTTAAGAGTGACGACTGCCTTCTTAGCGTGTCAGCTAAAGTGAATAAATTTGTTAAATCTGCTGAACAATTTTTGAATGAAACGACGGAATCTAAAGAAAAAGACCAAAAAATTAAAGAAGAATATGAGAAAATTATGAAGCATATTACAAACGAAGAAGAAGATGCACATACCACAAAGATAATTCAAACAGAAAAGTCCAATGTCGAAGACAAGAAATTTTCTGAAGATAAAACTCCTTCGTTTGCTAGGGAAACTACTTCATCTCATACAAAAATAAAGGACTATCCTAACCCAAATCTAAAGACCTCTGAAAAAAATCCTCTTGTTAAGATAACCTTGCGCAGTAGCGAAGCTGTTAAAAAAGCTAAAGCTCTGTTTGAAAATATTGCATCGTCTCAGAAAACCACCGATATAAAAACGACTAAATTGACGGACATTGGTATAAATAAGTCTCCAAAAACTGATTCCACAACAGCCCTGCACCCTTCTATAGAAGCTTCACCAAACGTAACAGATATTGATAGTGAAGTGGACACCCCGCATACTCCAAGCTACTCCGAGCGTGTCCCACCTGGTTCACACAATCGGCCGCATCAACCAAACAGATTTGATGACAATGTGCGTGGCACCACCAATCGACAGTCAAGTCAGTCCCCTGAAATACCAAGAGGTAAATCTCCTGTGCATCGCACTTCAGAAAGTAAGACGGTTTTATCAAGGTATTCTATTGGACAAAATGAGTCAACGAAACATATACGACCTGATGTAGTCAAGCAGCATAATCACCCTGAAGCAGAAAAAAGTAAAGTTCCGAGCTATCAAAGACCAACCAAAACTAGTCAAGTCAAAGAAGTGAATGTCGTTGAAGAAACCGAAGTGAGTAGTCGCCGCGGTAGTGGAAAATTTGGCGTAGAGCTGCGCAGGACAAGTGTGGAGAAAGTGACGATGAGCGCCGAGAGACGACGAAGCAGCACAGAACACCCCTGTATCGAAGATATCTTCGACCTGGACCTCCTGGAACAAATGGTTAGTAAGCACAACATTTGGTGCATGTTTGTCATAATTGCACTGTCGATAATTTACTACTTATTTTATTAAACTTTCAGTTGGAAAAGGTCGTGGGCTACGAGCAGAGACGTCGTATTCGCGCGCAAATTCGGATTGCCAAAAAGAATATAGAGAACGAAAAATTTGACACTTACACGAAAACTAAATCATCTGTTATAACAAAAATAAGATCCCCGGATAGAAAAACACAGAATAAATCACCGGAAAGACAGAAACCGTCTCTACAGAGAACACTTTCGCCGGAACGGCTACATAAGTCAACTCCGGTAAGGATTGTTTCCAATGAACACACTCAGATTAAAGACGAAACCAGGCAACTATTGAATGGTCACACGAAGGAATCTAACACAATCTTTGTCAAACGGTGCCGGCCACAGAGTCCCGAAAAATCAAAATCGACACCCAAAACTAAATCTCCTACTCGCCAACCAAGTCCTGACAAAAAAGCTCGGAGTTCACCCAACAAAAGTACCGGTAAACCAAAACCGAATAGATTTAGCGAGTATGCCTCGGCTTACATGAAAAAAGTTGGACTTACTGAAACGGAAAAATTGAAGTTTGCGGATAAAAGTAAGAAATCGGATTTACTAGACTCTTCCAAAGCAAAAACCACAGAGACTGAGGATTATGTTTCTTCAGACCACGTTGAAGAGCACAAAGCACTGGAAACTAAAACGATGTCAATGTCGAAGAGTTACTCTGAAAGAACGTCATCAAAGGATAGGATCGAGATTGTGCAAATGAATGGTAAAAGATCTCAGTCACCTGAGAAGAAACGTCCTAGCCAATACAGTCCTTCAGAAAGGTTGTATCAAAGATCACCAAGTCCTGATTTCAAGCGAACGAAATCAGATAAGGCAGAAAGTGTTACAAGGACAGTGTACAATAAAGAACCGCATAAAAGTACAAAACTTGAAACCGTAATCAAGTCGGTTAGTGACGGATCTAAAACGGAGACTAATAAAAAACAGACTATAGTAAAAACTGTAAATGATATTGAAAAGAAAACACCTGGAAAGCAAATTCAAGACGAAAAACCGTCGTGGATGACGAACAGGAACTTGAAGAAGATAAGCTCGGAAACGCGTACGTTCGGCAGCAAGAAGGCGGAAGCGGAGAAGCTAAAATACCGCGCGGCGAGCCCGACAAAAGTGCTAGCGCGAACGGCACCTACACCCACCGACGTGATCACGTCCAGCTACGGGCCCGGTCCGCTAGATGCCGACGGACGACCGCTCTTTGGGATCAAGGCGCTCAGAAATGGAGCTTCAAATTATCAAGGTAACAACACTCATTAGGATTACCAAATAACTGTACTAGATTAATTTATTAACCAGACCATTTCCTCAACATAAAAAAATACATTCGAACATCCATGTTTCAATATAATTGAGAACAATGATGGCCATAGGCGCCATTATAGTCCTCTTAGACCCAATTACATCCAATAGGCACACAACAACGTGCTTATATACGTAACGAATAGATTATGAATAAGTTAATAATTAGACCTATTTGCCCAGTGAAGCATGGAGTACATACAATCCGCTAGTTATTACTCAACGCATTTGACAAAAAATGTCATGTACTTGAGTTTTCAACTAATTCCGATATGTCAGTGATTCATTGTAATTCAATGTTATATTTGTTCAGCTGCGTTATCTAGTTGTCATATTTCGTGAAATAACGTAGTTTCGTCGCAGTTATCGTATCACGTAGACGGTGCTGCTGAGATTAAATATTAAAACAAAAAATAAAATTATACATTCAAAATTTATCTCGTCAATTAAGTAACTTGCTTTTTTTGCTTGGCCCTTGTTTGAATGATGCAAATTTCAGTTGGTGTAGTACTTACTACTCAAACTAGAAAAACAAAAAAAAATATTTTTTTAAGCTAATTTAATTCCATTTATAAATTAATTTAAAGTTATACCTTCTTTCTGAAACATATAGGTTCTTAAAATCTACTAAAAGAAATGCAAACATCACAAAATGTCTAAATTGTAAACGTAAATTCCAGTGAAAGGCACAGTGGTCCGGTCCGAGTACCACTCTCGCAATGGTGGTGAACCCGAGGGGTCGATGTCGGTGACGGCGTACTCCACAAAGCCAGAGGACCTGGAGCGGCTGTTGCAGGCGCAGAGTGACCGACCATCGCGCATCCACGGACTTGCAGCTATCACCACCACTAAGAAGTTTGGAGGAGACAGTGGAACTACGCTCAGAGAAGTTCGTACGGTATGTTAATTCCTACTTTAAACAATCCACATCACACTAAAGGCGCTTTGCAAATGCCTGATATCTTTTGACAGCAATTATGTAAATGGATCTAGATTGCTCACAATATGAAACAGGCAAACATTTTTGAAAAGGTAATTTATTACTATCGAGCAGGGCTGGGCAAAATACATGCTACGTCTTAATTGAAATACAAATTACAAAATACTTCCTTATATGTATTTAAAATACGAAATACCAAATACTTTCTTGAGGTGTATTTGAAATACAAAATACAAAATACTTTCATGGGGTGTATTTAAAATACAAAATACAAATACAAATTACAAAATACTTTTTTAATATACCTGTCCTGTCGCGACATGCGGAAACCAACAATTTCCTTCCACAATACATATCTTGAAAAATAAGTTTTAAATTATTATTTTTACAGAAATACAATTAACAATGTTTACAGGTGTAAAGAAATAAAAAATATACGATATTTATGCTCAGGCAACACAGAGGCGGCCGCGGAAGCGTTCCGGGCGCGGGCATTTTTGTAATGTACGAGTTCATATGAGCCCTGCCACACTGCAACGCGCGGCCGGCGGCGGCGTTTCCGCGACTGCCTCTGTGTGGCCGGAGCATAAGTGTACAAAGCGTGGGTGTGTGTGGTGCTTGTGTGTTGAGTGAGCGCTCTTGGCGATCTCAATTGGATCTAATTCAGATAGCCAATAGCACGCACTTATTTTAATTTTACCGCACGCGTCGCGATTATCATGCGTAGCTATGGTAAGAGGGCTGTAGTGAAAATATAGTAGATTGTACAACAAAACAAGTGCATAAAACGCGTCGTTTCACCCGAGACGAGTATGATGTGGATCTCAGGTGGATACCTGAGCCGCAGACGAGGGTGGATACTTAAGTCGAGGGTAAAATGGGTTTTATGAACGAGTTATACACTCTGCTTTTCACTTCGATTGCGAGGAAATTAAACAGCAATATTACAAATAAACGATAATTTAATTAAAATTGAATGTAAAACTGCAACAATTAAACATATTTAATGTGATGGGTTTTTCCTTATTTTATGCAGCCTACACCCAGCATATAGATACGAGCTTTAAGAGCATGAGAAGTGAAATAGTTATTTTTAATACAGTTTTGTATGTAAATATAAGTTTTAATGACGAATGATTTACGTCACAAAGCACATAAATATTAATAAATATACAACCTCATTAGTCCTATGTTTAAGACTTGAAACAACAGCAAATTAAAAAAAAAATAAAAGTAAACGGTACTAGTGCGACAAATCCAGCTTTCGGCACGATTTGTAGTACGACCAATACCACGTTTTGAGCAACTGTATCAAAAAGGTAGTTTTTAATTAAAAAAAAAGAATTCCCTTTCAAGAAAACTAGTCTTTTGAAAGTGCTATCAGATAAATATCCTCTCGTCGGAGAATGTATAAACCCTGCTAAAGAGAATAATCTCTCTACTGGTCCGGAAGAACACAGACTCGTATTAAATTTTATGAAAACTTGTTTTATGTTTGGGTAATGTTCAAGAATAGTTAGCTCTTTACTTTTTTCATTTAGAAAGCTCACTAGCTCTAATTCCATTTTTGATGTTTGTGGCCGATCACTGTCACTATTTATAAAAATAATAAAATCATCATCTCCTTTACTTGTATTTCTGCTTCTTCTACTTCCCTCTTCATGCTTTTTAAAATTAGCCTCTAAAGAGTAAATGGCAAGATTTTGTATCCTTTGCTTTTCTTCGGACGTGGTAGATTCTGGCAGCCAACGCATTATAGGCAGGGTAATAGCAGGATGCCAATATGGCTTCATTAACTTCGGGAAATAGTTTAAAAAGTTATCAAATCAAACCTCTTTTCTAAGCTGTCTTTCAATTTAGATACAACTCCAGAAAAATGTCTTAAATTGTTGCCCTGTAACCTTTCTAATCTAGTTCTTACAGACATTAAGCTAGGCAGAAGTTTACCATAATAACAATTATTGCCCTGAATGTAATCTAAAGCTGTTGCAATCGGTTTAAGTACCTCTATAAATTCTTCAAGGTATTCCAGTTCTATAGCCGAGAAAGCGTTGGTCTTCCCCAACTTATCAAATAAATCATTTAATTTTGATTTTGTTTTCATAAGTTGGACAATTGAATCAAACAGCGAATTCCACCTTGTAGGACAAGGATATATCAATTGATTCCCAAGACATTCTTGTATTATTTCTGCAGACTTGGGCCTTCTGGACATATTCCAGAGCAAAGTACATTTTGCTATTGCTGAGTAATGAACCCTGCTAATGGGAGATTCTTTTATGTAATTATTCATGTCTGTAGTGGCCAAAAGACTTAATGTGTGGCTAGCACATATAATTCCCTGGGTAAATATAATTCCCTCGTTGTTATTTCCTCAATTGAGTTGTGAGGTAACAGAACCTCATCATTTAGAATGTCAGAGGCTATACTCGAAGAAGTTCTAACAACTTCCGCAGTATCTGAAAAAAAAAACATATCAAGTACATAGGTATGTACAATTGGTACAAATTAATAATATTAGTTCACATTACAGTAAACAATGAATTTTGGGTAGAATTCAGTGGTAAAATTTTTGCCAAATTGAAGAGTAATTCTCTCACTCTGACTTTTATAAATTAGCTGTTTTCTTTCTTACCTGCAAGGTCAGCATCACCATCAGAAAAATCAGGTATATAGTTAGTAACGCCAAATTCTCTAAAAGCCTTCACAAAATTTGACCCATTGTCAGTAGTTGTTGACACCACTTGTTCAAGTTTTAATTTAAACAAAGACTGTATTTCAAATAGCATCTCAGCAATTTTATCATACGTATGTGACCCTTTGAAGCGATCAAAAGATAATACACAACTCATGCTTTCAAGTGTATTTTTATCAATCTGAAACCAAAATAAATATAAAATTAAAAGTATTGTAAAAAGATATTATAGCATATTTTATGCAATAAAATATAAATAAATAAATCAATTAACATGTTTATTACATACCCGAAAGACTATTTCTGAACCTATAGTATACAAAAAAAAAAAATCATCTACATGTGTAATATTTATTTGTAGTTTTATTTTATTATAGTTTATATGTATTAGTATCACCATTTATTATTGATTATATTATGTAATTGTATGTATGATTTAAGTAACTTATCTGTGTGTTTATTGAGTATGTAGCAATCACTTTTATTTTGTTTTTTATTCCTTTTTCATACAGTATTGCCAACCCATCTACGTTGGTAGATGGGTTGGCTACCAACTAACCTTTGAACAACTGAGAGGATAGTTGTATCCTCTCAGTTGTTCAAAGGTTAGATGGAAGAAATCCCTTTATGGGATCATAGCAATCAATCAATCAATCAATCGATCAAGCTCATCTTTGTACACTATTTTTCTACCTAAGTTGTTGTAAAGTTATTTTTTTTATATTTATAGTTGTATAATAAAGTGTTTACATACGTGTATACTATATGACCTTAAATGAAGATTTAAAAATCTGCCCAAAGTAAATAGCTAAGTAAAACAATAAAATTTTACCCAGTGTGCAGTTACACCAAGGAAGCTTCTAGTTTTTGTTGACCATATGTCTGCAGTAGTTGATACATAGTCCAAATTACTCAAAATGTTTATTAGTTTTTCTGTTAGTTCTTTTTGGGACATTTCAATTTTTCATCCTAGTGTTCGTCTAGACATTACATGTAAATTTTCTGAAAGGTCAGAAAACATTTTCACAAAATTGGGGTCATCCACTGTGCTAAGTGGTTTCATACTCTGTATAATGTAATTAATGATGTTGTCATCTAGCTTTTTCTGAGTAGTCTTCTGTGACTGTGATTTAAAATCAAGTTGTTTTTGTTTCAATTTTGAATTTGTTTCTTCAATTTTTAACAATTTCTGTCTTTTACCAGTTATACCTTGCTTTACTTTATCTTCCTCATATTTGCTAAGAATATCAGGGTGCTTTCGCTAAAAAACACAATAAAGAATAAGTACATAATTAAAAAAAAAAGGAGTAAAGTTTCAGCAATATAGGTCATTTTTGGTTTATAATTGGTCTATTGTTGATTTTTTTAGATGCACATGTGTCCAGAAACTCAACATACTACAACATACTATAAGATTATAATAAGCATAGTACAGGATAATTTACTTAGTATAGTATAATGTATTATATTTATAGCTCACAACGTTATTTTCAAGAATAATTAGTAATGGATTTCCTGGCCTACCTTTAAATGCAATCTAAAATTGCTTGTTGCTTTCAAACTACCTTTGATGATAGTTTTACATTGTATACATGTCGCTTGGACGTTGTCTTGATCGTCGTTATTATTAGCGTTACCGGTACTGCTACCAGAAACTGTGAAATACTTTTCGGTGAAAATTAGTGGATACACCACAGACGTAGATGGTAGACGTAGATGGTCTCCATCGTTCTCTATGTATGAAAAAATATGTTAAACCAATCGTACTACAGAGCAAGTAGTACGTACAATTATTATTAATATTCCCATACAAGACGAATACTTCATATACAATACAAGTATCTATATAAAGTGTTCGTCTTGTATGGGAATAATGCCGTTCATAACACGTACGTTCACAACACAAATTAGAAAGATGGTTCACTTCTTCTTCTTCTTCTTCTTCTTCTTTTAAAAGCTATGGTAAAGATATGCTAAACGATGACTTCACCAATGTCAAGTAAAAATGACTATATGCGGTAGTTTTGTAAAAATATGACTTCTACTTTGTGATACCAAAAATCACAAATTCTATTCTATTTCCTTAATGGCGGCCACTAGGCTTGGGCCAGTGTAGTTTCGAATCACAAATTCACAAAGCCGTTATAATCTAAAACTGTTATAACCCTTCTTCTTCTTTTAAATGTTATGGCCCCATCGAAATAATCAATGATTTTTGCCAATGTCAAGTAAAAATAACTATGTACGGTAATAAAAATTATACAAAAAAAATGGCGATTTCGCCAATGTCCTGTGAATTTCGTTATAACCCTTAGTGGATAGAAAATTGTGGGACAATTATAACCTGACTTTGACGTCTTTGACATTACGATGCAGAGTTTTTCATAACCATAGAGGTTAATTTTGGGAACGTTCCGTTTTATACACACACACGTCACGTCACCATTGAGTTCAATATCATATAAATGTATGCACGTCACATAATAGGCTGTACATTGAAAAATAAAAGTATTTCGTTGAAATGTATTTTACAACGAAAGTATTTGAAATACAAATTACAAAATACATTACGGTCAGGTATTTGAAATACCAATTACAAAATACATTTTTAGTGAGTAATTGAAATACAAATACAAAATACGTATTTGTATTTTAAATACGTATTTCAAATACAAGTAATTCAAATACTGCCCAGCCCTGCTATCGAGCAGCAAAACCACACAAGCGCCATATTGCTTACTTACACTATTCATTACAATAATTTGAAAACTTTTAAAATTAAGCCGCAAACACCCCTCTACCGTAACCCCTAGCTTGACAAAGTCTCTCATATACATATATCTTCAACATTTCTAAGCTAGGCCGTAAACATCCGTGCACAGTAAGAATTAAGATATTCAAAAACAGTTCTGCAGATACTACTGCATTACATACTAACAACAATAGCAATGTAAAGTGACCGCTAGACAAATTTAAAAGTTCACTTTCACAGTCCTTGACGCACCGACTTTAACAACGGTTTTGGTAACAATACCTGTGACTCAGTTTGTGCCGCCGTAGTGCGGACGAGCACACCGCCGCAGCGACCTTGTTTCACCAATTCATTTGTCATTCAGAAGGAGGAGAGAGCGGCGCTTGACCACTTCACGCACAGTGACAGAAAAGTCACCGACAGAATTGACGTGGAAACCTTCGATAAAGAGCGGACGCCGGAGAGGACTATCGAAATGCGGGACGACGTGAAGGGTGCGGGGAAGGGCCGCGAGGACCGGCGGGGCGACAGGAAAACTGTGCGGCAGAGCTCCGTCAAGTCGCTGACGGAGAAATACATCAAGAGTGCTAGTGAGTCATTTCTACTTTCACTTTTATTGTAAACATTCATCATCATTGTAATTTACAATATACATAACGTGTATGTGGTTTCATGGTATCATTAAGTACCATCAGTAACGCTTTTTTGAACTGCGAATTTGAACGCTGTGTACTAAATGATACTATTTTCAACAAAGAATAGTAAGATCCTCATTTGGTTTAGGTGTGGCCCAACGGTCATATTTTCGTCCAATTTTTCTTACTACCTATTCAAAAGTTGCCATGTAGTGGTGACAAAGTCGTCGTCTTTGTATTGAAGTTATATGTCAAAAGTTTCAATGACAATTTAGTCTGCCCGACACGACGACAGCGCACGCGACCGTAACGAAGTGATAGCCAAATAATAACTACTCGTAAATATTTGGATGTGATCACGTGAGCACATGTTGTGCTCACATTACTACTGCATACAAGTATTAACAGCCTTCGTTGCGTCTGCGCCAGGGTGCCCTTATTATATAGTAAACGCGATAGATATTACCAAAATAATATTACAAAGCAATGTCGATCTTCTTAGCATACGAATGCCGTTGATGTCTTTTGTACGGCAACATGTGATGTCACTGGCATACTAATGTGATAATTTTGATGTCGATTACATTGTAAGGTCCGTTACACTGCAACCGCCCAGAGATTGTTTTATTTAACTCGATCCTTGAACACCAAAAAAAGAACAACGTTTTGTAAAGTAAGAAAAAGTTACAACCAAAGAGTGAAGCCTTAAAGATCACCTACCTTTGGAAGATGAGAGAGTACTTTAAATATTGTAGATTGGACATTTTGCTTCATGGAGACATTATTCTATTTAAAAAAATTAGTAATACAAAGACTTTTTAAAAATTTCTTACCTCACCTGGAAATCAAACCGACCTAATGTAAAAAAAAATAACAGCCCATATTTTTATGATGTCGATCAAAAAGTTTAATAATAAAGATTAATTATTTCCAAATAACACAATATCTTAAATTAAAGAAACACCGTTCAACCATAATTTATTAATTAAAAAGAAACAAACTTGACTCGCCAATATATTTACGATATTTACAATCAATTCTCATATGTTCATATGAGATATATTCATAATCTGAAATGCTCAAAATGTGATCCATTTTTTTGTATGCAAATTTTCAGTGTTTTGTTCGCTGTTTGTAAATTTTCTTACCTTACTATGATGAATATTCGAAACAGTACACAACAATTCTGTTTTTAACTCGTCCTTATTATCAAATTGCTTCTTGTTTGTTAAATCTTCACGTATTCGCAGAAAAGGGAATCTAATAGTGTTTCATTTTCCTAAACTTAATCGTAAAATGGTCTTCCTTTAATTTAATATACTTTGTTACTGTGTTAAAGGACTTAATACGTACTTATTTATTTCCAAAATTAATCTATTATTACATTATAATTGATCGTTTCGATCAGCGTCATGAAAATACAGGTGCTTTTTCACATTTCGTCAGTTTGGTTTCCAGATTAGACAAACAACTTTTAGAAATCTTTGAATGCAGAAAAAAAAGAAAAAAATAATTTTTTAAAGTAATTATTTAGTAATATTAAGTAAGATATTATTTTTAAAGCCTCCCTGAAGACAAAATATCTACAATGTTTATAATAATACTTTAATAATAATATATTAATAACATAATAATATATTAATAACATAATAATACTAATAATACTTTCCCTCCGCGTCGTCTGTCTGTATATTTTTTTTATTAAATCGTCACCTCATTTATGTAAATCAATAAAGTGAAAGATTGCATTACAAAAGCAACACACAACAGTAAATATATCAGTAAAACAAGTAGTAATAACAAAAACGCTATCCTTTCACCATAATCGAGTAAAACGATGACACCTGTCGGTCGTTAGCGAACGAGTGACTCAAAATCAGCAGCTTTGCTTGATCGAACAGCGTTGTGGTTATGTAAAGACTTTCTTCAAGCAGCTTGATGTCTGTCTGGTCAATTGTTTGCTGTTTGCTAGTATCAATGAATGATAGATAGTGTTGTCGCGAAGTCTGCGCAGCGAGGCAGTGCCGACATGTTTGGCTGTCAGTCTTCAGCGGTAGAGATGTATAAGACACGAGGTTATTATAATTATGATTCTTCGGTTCAGTGTTGGTGTGACGTGTTGTATGTGAGGTTCGATTCGGAGTGCAGTGGTAAATTATAAATAACTTGATTATTATTTATGTTACTTGATGTCCCTTAGCCCTACATATATAGCCCTTATTTATTTATATTGATTAGCCCTCGCAGTGGTACTACTTTAACATTTATGCCTGTGCATATATTGGTTGGGTTATCATATGCATCTTACTCATTATTTAGATATAAATAGAGTGTCGCGCTTTTCTCACATTGTGGTAGGCAGACGGTACCTATCTGCAGCTGTCGCTTTCCACTTCTTCCTCTAGGAAAAAGGGAAATAACCAGTTATTCGCATACGCAGGCGACACGTCCCGGAACGAGCGTAGTGCGTACCCGAAGGCAGGCCTGATCCTGCGCACTGCCACCATGAAGGACAGCCTTTCCAGCGACTCCTCCGCGCACGCCGGTACATACCGTTACATTCGTTTTGTATTTTAAATCCACTGATACATTTGTTTTATGCGTATTTTTCTGTGATAATCATCAAAAAAAATCTTGATGGTAACATGAGTACTTGTAGTAATAGTAACTGTCTCTGTGGCCGAACCTTATCGAACCAAAAAAGTTACCTGGCTGGTTTGACACGCAGAGGTCCCGGGTTCAATTCCCGGGCCGGGAGAAATATTTGTATGACCTACATTTATTTCTCTCATGAGTTTGGGTGTAGTGCGGGGCTGAGTGTGTGCATTTTATTAGTATTAGTAATTTTCATAATAATACAGCAAATATAGAATAAGAATTCGTCCAGGGAATTACAGCCATCTTACCTCTGCTACCAAGCTGTAACGTGAGCATTACTGCATTCCGGTCTGGGAGAGCCATTACTCTCCCAAACCGGAATGCAGGCGAAATTACAGGACCTGGGACTTATCAACTTGTGTCTCAGGGTGACAGGCACAGTGGCAGTGCTCCTCAGATCTTTGTATGAGTGGCACTGCAACGGTTATGGACAGGCGTGCGACTTACTCGCAGTCACACGACTTGTTCGTCCCGTCACTTGTTACAATAAAAAAATAATTAATTAAAACATTTTATTGACGTTAACAGGTCTCGGTCGAACGGACAGTGAGCACAGTCTGGGCTCAACGGAGGAAACCACATCGGTGACACGCACCACGCAACTGGGAGATCCTCAAACCACAACAACTACCACCTCTCGGCACCAGTCGCACCAGCAACAAAGCGATCACCAAACTACAACCACCACCAGCAGCTCTCGGCACCATGTGCAGCAGCAATACACACCTGCGCAACGCGCTGAGCGATCTTTCCTCGACAGCTCCACGAAGGTCACTGGGGTCCAAGACATCCTTACTAGGATGAAGAATGCTGACATCGGTAAGTAAATAAATTAACATAAATTCGCATACGTTTGTACCTCTATTACACAAAACACAAATCCAATTTTAATTATCATTTTATATTTATAGTTTTTATAGCGCTTTGGTATATATTACTTTAGCGCTATTTTGTTTTTTTATGAAATAAATAAATAAATTATAATGGAAATGAAACTATTTTGTCGTTTCTAAATCACGGTATCGGGATGGTTACGATAGAATGACCATGAGGACCACGGGAATTCCCGAAACGTGGGTTTGTTTAAAGAAACACATATACATATGCGATTACGAAATATTCACTAAGAAAGAAGATATACATAATATTAACCTAAGAACTAAGGCCAAACTCATGGCACCACGATTTCGTTTAACTAAGTTCAGGGGCATATATTAAGATTATCATTTCCTAAGTTTAAAACTTCATTAAAAGTATTTTAATTAAAAAGTAATATTACAAAATTGAAGACTACGTGTTAGATCTACATCTTTAGATGTATGGAAAGACGACCGAAGTCTATATTCCACACAAATATGATTCAAAGTATTATTCCTTAGCATTTAAGTTTATTTGAAAAGAGCAATCCCTAAAGTTTCTTGCTCGTTCTTCTCGGGGAAGTCAGCGTAGTGAACGAGCAGCAGTAGCTTAAAACATGACGTTTTCAAGTGTAAACTTATACCTTTGGAATAAGTGATTATTTGGCTTTGACCTTGACTTGATTTAGATTAGTGTAGCGTTCAGGAAATCCTAAGAACTGGAAAAAAGTCTATAACTGCAGTGAAAGTCAGAAGATTCAGGTGAAGGCTTTCTTTATTACACCTGTCTGGCCATTCCTCGACATCATGCCCATAATATTCAACACAATTTACGTGCATCAAACTGACTAGAACAAAAAATGTTCGCTATATAAGAATGAGCCCCTTCGTAAAAGGCACCAACTAACTAACTAACGTAACTTGTGCATCCTTACCTTTATACACAGTGATAAACGAAGGCGACAGTTGCGAGGACGCGGAAGCGCGCGCGCTGCTCAACAAGTTTCTCGGCGCCACCGTGCTGATGGCCGGCATGCAGGGCTACGTCACCGAGAAGCCTTCCGGAAAACTCCTAATCAAACAGGTACCTTTCTTCTTATACTCGGCGAAGTTAGGCCTACGTGGGCATTACAGCCCAAGCTCATTTATTACGAGAGGAGTCCTGCGCCCAGCGGTAGTATTATGTATAGGCTAACTATTTATGTTTATTTACATAATGAAAGTTCAAACATTACATTTTTAAGTTTATTGAATGTCACGATATTTTACTACCGTGATATTCAATTATTTTTTATTTCATATTATTTGAATAAAAAGTGACAATTAGGGTTACAGGATACTATCTTTCACTCCCATCCCCGTCCAACAAACTCTCATGATTTTATTTGAACTGAACCCAAATAAAAATACTTAATTTTGGGCATTAAGGGCAGGTCATATCGATTTGGTAAAAGCAATGATGTTAGTGCTTCCTCATAGTCATTCAACAGTGATTCAGTTTTCTTGCGGATGATGGCATAGAAAAAAGTCAACCCGCGTCTTTGCAAACTTGGTAGAGGCTCTGCAAAAGCGAAGCAGTCCCATTTATTTACATTAAACGTTAACAAATGTACATAGCCTAGAAAAATATAAATGTAAAAAAATGTATCCTGGCACAGGAATTCGAACCGTCTCTCAACTGTTTTCCCAGTAGTCATATATGTACTAAACCCACTGTTTTACATATTCCGTACTTTTTTTACCTCCCTTATAGATAGAATATTTTGTACTAGGATACCTATATGTAAATTAATGCTGTTGTAATGAAAGCTTTGCGTAGCACCTACACAGTGTAGTAACAGGGCGTTGTCCTGTGAAAGATGTAGTGTGTGAGGACTTGATAAGTATGTCAGTTTGAAAAAGATTTATTTTTAATTACGGTTTATTTTTCTACGTAATCTCTTTTTAAATCTATTCTCCTTGGCCAGTTATATTCCAACTTCTTTAACCCATAACAAAATATTTTTTATCAAACTGAAAAATAAGTCTCTGTTTCGGTGTGTTATCACTCCCTTATTTGATGCAAATCGGTAAAAAATCAAATAAAAAAGTCAAATAAGAGAAAAAGAAAAAGTTGTCCCACTCTGAATACGTGAATACGGGGGTTGCGGCCATTGACCTACCAAAATTGCCGCAATAGTTCGTATTACATTTCGACAAGTTTTGATTATCTGACTGCAGATGCATCAGTTACATAATAAATATTTCTACATTAAGAAATAAAAAGAAATTCCAAAAAAGTTTTTATTTAACCTTAAAGTCACGTATTAGGGGTTAAAGTATGAAATTGCCGTTTTATTGCAATAGGTTCTTTGAATTTTCATAGAATCTTCATGGTTTGAGGTTTTCGAATGAAACTTTTTTCAAATGGTTTCTGTGATTTTTTTTTTTTAAATTTGAAACATTTGAATATCGACTTTCAATTGTTTTTGTTATTCAATTTAGACAAGAAAGATGGATACTGCGAAAATTCGAGTGATTTTTGAATACGAGTTCCGACGCGGAACTAACGCGGCAGAAACAGCCCGCAATATCAATGCTGCGTTTGGAGAGGGGTCTACTAATGAACGCACCGTGCGATTTTGGTTTAAACGCTTTCGTGATGGAAATTTCGACTTAAAGAACGAGCCACGAGGAAGACCGCCCACACAGGTGAATAACGATGAATTAAGAGAGATAGTGGAAGCCGATCCTAATCAAACTACCCAGGAATTAGCGGTATGGTTTAACGTTACCTTACCCACAATATTGACTCACTTGCGTCAAATCAATAAAATAAAAAAATACGAAAAATGGGTGCCTCATGATTTGACTGATCTGCAGAAAGAAACGCGTGTTGAAACTTGTGTTGCCTTGTTGAACCGGTACAGAAATGAAGGAATATTGGATCGAATTGTAACATGTGATGAAAAGTAGATTCTTTATGATAACCGGAAAAGAAAAAAGGCAATGGCTGACCCCAGGTCAAATGCCACAACAGTGTCCTAAAGCAAAACTTACCAATAAAAAGGTAATGGTAACTGTTTGGTGGTCTCAGCATGGTGTTATTCACAATAGTTTTCTCCGATCTGGTCAAGCAATAACGGCAGATGTCTATTGTGCCGAACTCCGAACCATGTTGACAAAACTAGCAGTAAAACAGCCCCGACTCATGAATCGATCTTCACCATTATTGCTCCACGACAACGCGAGTCCTCACACAGCACGAGAAACCATTTTGACCCTTCAGGAACTGCAGTTGGAAACCATTCGTCATCCTCCGTATTCACCAGACCTTGCTCCAACGGACTACCATTTTTTTCGTGATTTGGACAATTATCTACGTGACAAGAAGTTTTCTTCCCAGGAGGCAGTACAAAATGCTTTCACACAGTTTGTGCAGTCTAGATCGTCGGAGTTCTATCGCAAAGGCATTAATAACCTTCCCATTAGATGGCAGCAATGTATAGATAATAATGGCAACTATTTTGATTAAATAAATTTGTTAAAAATTTAAAAAATAAACAATTTAGATTTTCAGTACAAATCGGCAATTTCATACTTTAACCCCTATTATTTATCAAACCGCCCATACCATACCATATCTCGATCAGGTTGGAGGAACTGATGGGAGAAGGAGGCGAAAAACATTGGTCAAGAGCGTAGCAAGTGGAGGTCTGCCTACCCTAATGTGAGACAGGAGTCATGGTACCTGTGTTTGTCGAACAATGTGTTACACTTACATCTTATTGAAAAAACTATTAATAGCATTTGTGTGTAATAGGTATATTTCTCATGAATAACAAAGAAAAACCCCATTTAATTTCTTTGTGTAAACGTGGAGAATCGAGCAATTTGCATTCGCATTGCAAAAAGGAAAAACAAGTTCATTGTCCACACAGTGGAAGACGTAAATTCGCGATGTCGTCACGATTATTTAGAGTCTATATTGTGCTGATGCCGTCCACATTCGAGCACTCCATTTCGTAGAAAGTACTCTGTAGTTATTTTGAGCCGTAACATTTTGTATCTACTTATGAAACTTATATTTAAAAAAAATCTCCTCGCATTTTGTATACAATGACTTTACACGCGCACTACTTTTATATTAAAGGTAGTGAAAATTGTTTTAAAATCATGTATTTAATTGAAATGACATTATTTGAAATCGATAAAATCGAATATCAATATGATTAATTATATTTAAAGAAAACGATAATAGCTTTAAAATGTAAGCCTTAACATTACATCAACTTCTTTTGATCTGCAAATACTATAACATGAAAAGATAAATAGCAGATTTCCCCCGCCCTCCGCGTCCCCAGCTCCTCCTTCACCCTGCAGGGTAAACAAACTCCACATGCTCCGTTGCCGCAGATTAATGCGCACATCACTTCGCATGTGCGCGGATTAGCCGCATTAACATTTCCGCCTCATTCGTCTTCCTTTAATAAATTTAGTACACGACCTTCTGACTTAATAACACAAAAACTATAATCCCAAATTACACGCGCAACGTGTCTCTGCCGGATATTGTCATTGAAACCGAAAGGTCATTCAACACCTTCTGTGATAGGCGTTCGACAGTGTTAGGCTTCCCAAATGCACAGCTTTTTCCTTTGTTCAAGAGAATTCCATGGCAGACATTAATATAATCAGAACCGCTAATGATCTGAACACTGCCAAAACAAACATCAGACCTACCTAACCGCGGCCGCGTGTGCGCAACGCGGAACACTCGTGTGAAGTACCCAAACAGTGGTACCCGTCAATGAGCGAACCCCGGCACTTCGCAATTGCCGGCAACACATAAATCGCAGTCCGTTTCGCGAACAACTATTATTATGCGAATTTTCCTAGAAACAAATTCGCAAATTTTCTGGAGAGAAAGCCAAATAATTTTCTTGGCAGTCGCCGAAACTATTGCATAACGATTAACGGTAATTGTTCGAAAAAATATTAACAGAAATTTCATATTTTCTCCACAATAGAAGGAATACAGGCGTGTTTACAAAACCTCTCAACAAAATGCGCAAATAATTACCCTAGTAGACAAAGCGCTTGGCGATGGCGGTGCGCGCGCGCATTGCCGTTTTAAGCAGCAACGGAAAGCGACGAAAAGCGCCGGCAAAAATAACACCGCGCCGACATTTCACTCCCCCCACTCGCAGAACATCCTAACCCACAAACTGAAACAGTCAAAATTAAGTTCTAAAGACGTTCCTACTAGTGGAGTAAGGAGAAAACTCGTGTGTCTGATCTAGATCGCTATATTAGGCGTGATGACGTCAGAGCGGTGCGCTCGCGCAGTCCGGCTAGTACGCGCGCGGCGCACGGGTCGCGCTACCGACATGCCACGATAAATTAAGACTTTTAATCATTAAAAAAAAACAAAATTAACTAATAGAAGCTAGGGCTAGTCCACATGTAGCCAGTAGCGACGCCTGCGCCTGCAGCTACAAGTAGTGAAATTAGAAACGGATTGCCCGCGTGCCAACAATCAACAATATACAGGTGAGTTTTTATTCCGGAAATAAATATTTGACAATGTGCATACATAATTATTTTAATCATGTAGGCACCTATGCTATATTTAAATATAAATATATTTGACAGTTTTCATGTTATGTTCATGAAAGCTTGAAATAATTTTAGATCACTTCCAGCTTTTTTCAACTTATAATTGTCTTACAACCACCAACAGTTTCCATTAAATGCATTTCTGCCGTCGTAACGAAAAGGCACAACTATGCGTACTTTATACAGCAGTTGTGCTTTTTTTCGTGCCGTGAGCAGATTTATTGTTGTCCCTTACTAACCCACAATTACCTTTCCAAATATATATGAAAAGTTTTCAAGCTTGTTACTTAAGATACGTAATAGAGATGTGCGCCGATCGTAAGATTATCGACGACGGTAATGTCTGACGGATTTTGGACCGGCGCGCGGCGGCCGCGGGGCGGCGGCATAATCGACAAGGTGTATATTTTTCAGGTGTTTTTTAAACACATTGTTTTAATCAAAGTATTTAATTTCAATGCTTTTTACACTTTAACTTTAGCATGT